ACATTCACTCAAAGAAATCAGCCTTCCTAGCTGTAATGAGAAAGCATTGCTGTTGTTTTTAGTTTAATTGATGACATGTTTATTTAATTTTGAGTTGCTGTTATATTATGTAACTATGATTTAACATTTGTTCCTTTTGATGTTATCCATCCAAAGTGGCCCAGGTAGCTAGATGGGCAGTAAACAAACAAATAAACAAACAAAACATGAAGGTTGTCTTCTTTCAGGGCATCAGCTGAAGTCTCTAAGCAGGAAATAAATTGCAAGGCAAGAGGTATTGCAGGATAAGGAAGTCTGATATCTTGTATTAGTGATTTGAAAACTTGAACATCCATCTCCACCTTTTCCCAGCTGGTGCTAGGTCTCACTCTGAACATGTTTGTAAGTGCAACCCCCTTGTGCAACATCAGGTTGCAAAACAGCCAGAGGGGAAGAGAGCAGAGATCCAGTGGGTACCTGCTTATCCTATAGCCCATCACACACTCTCAAGCAAGGTTCCTGAGATGCCCAAGAGATGCAACTCACAAGCCTCTTTGTCGCACAAGCCCTGACCAACAGAGGCGCGAGCACTAGGAAAAAAATAACTGGGCTGTGACTCAGCCTTCCAGAAGTCCCAACAGCTGTAGAGGGTCTGGAAAAACTCCTCACATATCATGGGTCCCACAGGAAAGGCAAGCCCTGGGGGGGAGTGGCATGGATACAAGTCCTAGTGGGAATGGTGCAGGATATATACCATGTCTCCCCAGAAATAAGACAGGGTCTTATATTAATTTTTGCTCCAAAAACACATTATGGCTTATCTTCGGGGGATGTTTTATAGTCATGTCATCATGTTGCTGCACAATGCTGCACAATGGTGGAGGGCAGGGTTTCACTTAACTAGGGCTTAATTTTGGGGTAGGGCTTATATTACGGGCACCCTGAAAAATCATAACAGGGCTTATTTTCAGGTTAGGTCTTATTTTCAGGGAAACAGGGTAGCAGCAATGACAGCAATTGCTTCAGCTACAGGACCCCTTCATCATCTGACTAGGCACCGAAAAAGATCCCTTCCTTCCTTGCTTTGGATTGGCATATTACCTGGTTTGATAGGGGTTTTTTTTCACAAATTCTGGGCTCACTTCCTAACAGGCCCCCTTTTGTCTGTGTTTCCATAGTTTGGCCCAAGGACTGTTTTTCACACACACCACAAACTTTGCCTTTGTCCTACCTCTACGACTTCATAAGTTCCTGCCCCTGTGACATCACAAGGAGATGCCCCTGGACCCAGATTTTATCCCATAAGTCAGAGTGAATGGGACACTGCTAATTCAGCAATCACTATACAGAAGCTGTCAAATGGCAAAAAACTGAAATCCTCTGTGTCAGCACAAAACAAGGCTGAGTCAACAGTGAAGAGTTTTAACTGATATTTCCAGGAAGTCTTGGAAAAGAAATATGTGCTTGTGAAGTTACTAAGGGGAAAATATGGTTCCTATTCTCATTGGCCAGGGACCAAAGAGTCCTCTGTGTGTGTTGGGCAGAGACCATGAGGGTTTGTGGCAGGAAGCAACCCCTTCACTTATTTCCAATATGAAAAATAAGATGTGCTGATATATTTATAAACAGTCCTGCCCTAACTTGCAAAGGTCACTGCCCCAATGCTGAACAGCAGGTTTTTAACTCCTTTCCTTTACCTGCATTCAGGCAAATTACTTTTTTTTAAAAGGAATTTAACTCCCAGAAAAACCTAACCAGTGAGTATGGCCAATCTTTTCATGATCTGTCAAGGGCCCACGCATAAAATAACTATGTTATTTGACAGAGGCAGCTAGTTCACTAAGCTTCCACCACCCCTCACCCTCTGTCATAGTAATCACCTTTGTACTTCCCCATGGTCTCTAATGAGATCTCAATATCTGCAATTTATGTTGCCAAAATGTGTTTTTGCACTGAAAACTGCAGGCATAGGGGAGCAGTCAGGATTGCAAGTGGAGTAAGTGTTAAAATTGCCCTCCCCACAACTTCTGTGCTACTGTGTCTGGTTCAGACCAGGTTCCCTGTTTACCTTGGTGGAGGGGTTGGCAACCTTTGGCCTTTCACTCCAATAATTCCAGCCAAGACAGGAAATGGTAAGGGATTGTGGGAGTTGTAGTCCAAAGAATCAGCTAAGCCAAAAGTCTCCATCCTTTTTCAACTGGTCAAGATATATACAAAAGGACCCAGGCTTTCATGTTGTGACTTTTCATGAGAGTGCAAGAAAAGTAGCTAATATTTAATTATAACAATGATTACCTGCGGTCAAGTCGATTCCAATTTGTGGTGTGCCTTGCCAGGGTTTCCTAGCAATAAAATACTTAGAAAGGGTTTACCAGTCCCTTTGAGTGACACTACAGGGACCGTTATAGCTTTGCCCAAGGCTACACCAACTGTCTGTCCCCCTGGGAGGCACAGTGGGGACTTAACTTCCCAATCCTTGGCCTTGTAGCCAGACACCCCAAATCACTTAGCTATCCAGCCAGTTTTTATTACAGAAACGTCTCCATCAGGCAAAAGAAAAAAGGGTGTGAAGTCTTTGTTGTTCAGAAGATCAAAATAACTGGTAAATCTATAATGTTGGTAAATGCACAACAGTTGCTAATCTAGCAAAAAATAAATAAATAAAAGAACTTTAGCATAATCTTTATTTTTACTTTTTAAATGTTATTACAGTACCAGATGCTTTGAATTTAGCAGCATGATAGCACTTACCATTTATTTGCTGTTCTGAACAACTCAGACTTCACAACAGTATTTCCTTCTGCCTGATTGAGCGTTTTGCATAACAATAATTTGGACATACCCATTATGAACAGAGAACAGAACACCACAATACATGTCTACAAGTACTGTATGCTCATGTAGAAAACAGGTCCAACAATCCTAACATTACGGAACAAGCTGGCACGGTGATTATTTATCAGTTCCAGTAGCTCCTGGACAGCTAGAAACGTGAAGCATTTCAGAGAACTGATGTCAAAATCCAGAAAAATACTGTCTGCTGACCCATGTGGAAAGTTATAGTTCCCATTTTGAAGAACTGCTGACAATGTATAAGAGTTCAATTTGTTGTACAGACCAGCAAGAAGTCCTTAATATGTAACATTCACATGATTATCTTCTTTTTAGCACTTTTTCCACTTGGGTTCATTAACTAGCCCCTCATTTGTACTGCTGAAGAGGTTCTAAATTAACAAAAAATTAAAAAGTCCCCGAACTATCATTTTGACCACTGTATGTTTAGGCGTTGCAGATCTTTTGAGAAAATGAAATGTTTCTTTTTCACAAAGCAAATGTTCAGAAAATACAAGTCTGTAAGGGCTTCCATTTCTCTCATAGTTTCAGTTCCACCATGTTCACCACAGCTATGAAACAAAGTCCTCTTTAGACATGTCTCTGTGTTTAGAATGAGACTGAAGAAGCAGAACTGGCACAACCACCTGCCATTAATTTTTGGGACTCTCATTTATAATTTTCCTGCACTATCCACAAAATATTGGCACATGACCTGAGGAAGTGGACTTCCTTGTGCCTCTGTCAGGCTGTTTGGATAGACTTTGTTTGTATATATCAGTCTCCCAATGCCTTCCACAATCTCCCTCACCTTACTAGCATGATCAATGGTTATGGTGGTAGAGGATGATGGGGACTTTTATTTCAATATATTAGAAGGGCAGTGCCTTGAAGGCGGCTGCAGTAAATCAGTAAAGAGCAGCAAAATAGTAAAATACATGGAGTCAAATCATACAATGTGTCACTGGTATCTCAAATCACTTAGTGTTTCCACAAATACAGTACATCCATAAATTCAAACTGTAAAGAAATCCTGGGCTTTCCTCCTAGTAATCAATCACAGTACAAAGTGAGTTCACTAGAAAACTATGGAATGTTTGAAAAGCTTTTGTCAGATGTTCTTTACATTTATGGAATTCCTACATGGACCTAATTATAAAATATATTGCCATGTCTTCATTTATTTGGTGTCTCAAGGTGACCAGTGGAAGTATTGCCATTTAATACAAGCTCCTGATCTAGTCGTATGTAGCTGAGATGAAGGAACTTTGGGGGTCCAACTTTGGCCATTTCAGACTACAACTCCAAACATCCTTCACTATTGGCTACTCTGGCCAGGGATTCTTGGAGATGAAATCTAAAATAACTAGAGATCTAGAGGTTTTCCACTCCTGTGTTAATAAAATGTCAATAGGGGTCTTAGCACAATGTGATACTGTTGTTCCTATATGTTTAATCTGTAACTGCAGTGCAGACTTTTGTGGGATAAAGCACATGAATTGCATCACAGTAGGCACAAAGTTAAAGAAGACCAGCTGTGCAGGATAGAAACAGAGGGAGATAAACTTGTGTTAATTCTTCTTTGAGAAAGACTCAGCTCCGTTTATGTGAAGCTCCTTATCCAGGCACTGGTCATGCCAAGATCTCCTTGTCTTTATTGACACACCTTCAGATCACTATGCAGAAGAGCACAGAATCCAGTCCAAATCAAATGGGACTCCCTTCTACTTTCTGTACACCACACAGAACTTCAAGGGATGGCAGCTCCCAACAGTCTCAGACATAAGTACTTCTCAGCTTTGCTATCAAAGCTCCTTTAAATGGACATGCCAGGATTTGATACTATCTGCAAAGCTTGTGTTGCACTACTGAGTGATGTCTCCCTCCCCCACTTCTTTCACTGACATGAAAAAGCACCCTAAATTTAAATCCCTATCTATATTAAAACTTACGTGGTTAAAATAAAATAAAATAAACTGCATTGACACAAACAACAGCTGGCCAAAATCCTTAGATTTCATGTCTTGCAGAAGTACAAAGGAGATCTGCAAACCCTTTAATGTTAAAACCAGCCTTTGGCACAGCTCACAGTAGAACTGCTTGCTTGGAATTCAGCTCTTTCCACCAGCACTCCAAAGTCCACCAAGCTATTGTACAAGATGCCAAAGTTGCTCTTTTTTTTTACTCACTTCTAGCCATCTTGCTCCCTTGTTAGCAGCCTGTACAATCTCCACTTTTTTCAGAGTGACATGGTAGACTGCTCCTTCCTCTTCCTCATCTCCCAAGTCCTGAACTGAGACCTGCCANAAAAAAACGGTGGGGTAAAAAAAAATGGGGGGGGGGGGGGAGAGCGAGAGGATGCGAGTACAGAAGGTTGCTTTCCTTATATGAAAAAATCTAGGTCAACTGCTGTAGAACTTTGTTACAGAGAGATTACTTCTCAGGACGACTGGTACTGGAAATATATATTATAATTACAGAGCAAGAGATACTTTTCCACAATGGCAAAGAGGGAATACACTTGGCAGACTCCCCTTACCCTGCTTATTTGAACACTTTCTGAGGTTCCCGTTTCTAGCTTCTCCCCACCCCCACCCGGACTTGAACCCTGACTTGAACATATTTGAAATAGTTTTACAATGTCTTTTCATAAGGAAATGCTCCCTACTTGCCTCCTTAAAGTTATTTTCTCTACTCTTTCAGTTGCAAGGACCACTGACAGAAAACAGGCACCGAAATTATTGTAGGTCCTCACTTTTTCTTCTCTTCTTATTGCGATAACGATCTGAAATTATTCCAAAGCCTTTTGT